AGCCTGGAACCTAAAGTAAGTGCTAAATTTCTTGTTTTTATAGATATTGTTTATTTATTGTTATATATTTTTTAACTAAAGTAACTAAAATGTAAAAATTGGAAACTTCTCTGGTTAGCTAACACATTTAAATCTTCATGAAATTGATTAATGGGGTAGGTGAGCTTGTAACATGTGCATGACTGTAACTTAATCACTTGTTTATCTGAAGTTCTACCCAAAACAGCTAAATCGGCTTTCACTGTGGTTTATTGCATTTCACATACAGTAGTAGCTCAAAAAGTACAGCATTAAAATCATAAAATTAAAAGAAATGACAAGTTAAAATGTTAAAAGCTAAGGCTGTTAGGATAAATAAATGTGACTGTCTGTTACTATATGTAATCATTATAGAAGAAATATGGTATTTACTATTTTATTTCATATTTTTCAAGTTTTCATATCACTTTACATTGATGATTTTGCTACAGTTCCATCATAGAAAATAAGGGATGAAATATAAAAGTTTACCAAAAACTTTTGATATTCTATTAATAGGTTCTAGAGGTTATGCAAATTAAATACAAAAACCACAAGTCGAAAATAAGTATTTTTATTCTTAACAAAAAAATCACCTTTCACTCAGACTGTCTCAGAAAATGCTTCGTAAATTTACAGACAAATAATTAATAAAAACACTATTTAAAAATCTGATTTTTGTATGCAAAAGCTTGTAATGTGTACTAAAAGCTTGCCAAGTGTTGTGAAGATACTTTTAGTACATTCAGTTACAAAATGTAGAATTTCATGGTTACAGGTGGTTATGAGGTCTATTAAATTGACTGAGCCCATATAGAGATGATTAATACATGAGGTGCTCATGGGGTTTACTGAGCACAGGGGATGTGTTGCCCTTCTATTGGTGGAGAGATATTGTCTAATGTTGATTGCATCATAAACTGGCACAATTCACATTAATATATATAGGGGGGTGGAAGCTCTATTCAAAGCTTGGTGCATGTGCAAAAATCTTTTTGGCAGTGACACAAGGTAATAGCTATCAATTCTGTGGAGAGGTGAGTACCATTTTTGAAAAACAGATTTAGGAAAACAGATCATAGTAGTATCAAAAGCTTAACCAAGGTAAAATAAAATATACCAACTGGCTATTTCTGTGTTAATGGTACAGTGTAGAATCTGTGTATTAATGTAGCTCACATTTTTACTTGTTTAAAATCAGTAAGTAACTGAATTAAGCTTAATACATTGTGAGACTATAAGGATAATTACTGCATAGTATTGTACCTTTTTGATCTTTTTATTACCCTTATTGTTTTCACTCATGTGTTTGTGTGAACAGTATAACTCAAAAAGTGTCAACCTAACTTGGATCAACTAATTAACTTTTGGTAAATGTTGATTAATAGTCAAGGTTAAACTGACGATCAATGATTTTTACTATAATGGTAGCAAATTCAGATTTTGAAAAAATGGTAAAAAATCAACAAGAAATTGACATATCAAGAGGATCTTGGCACCGAGATCTATATTTTCAAGGGCAATGAATTGTTTGGTTATTGTAAAAGTTAACATTTTCCTAATCTGAAAATGCATTTCCAACAAATACTCACCTCCTCAAAAATAACAGCTATACTCCTCGTGTATCTCCCTAAGAGACTTGCATGCCACTAGCCTTGAGCTAATTCCCATCTAAATTCAAGTATTTAATGCAAATTGTGTTGGCGCTTGATGATGTCATCATGCAATAATAGCCCTCCATCAATAGAGGGGCAACACAACCTCCAGGCACAGTAACTCCCCCCTAAGCACTTGAGATAACTTCATTCTTAGATGAGGCAAGAATAAAATGATGCACCAGAAGAAGGAAGGTCAGGTGGGAATGTGTGAAGATGTTAGTATCCATCAGAAATACATTTTAGAATTAGAAAAATGTTAACTTCCGAGACTATGCCTCACATCTGCACACAGAACAGCTAAAATCCCATGATGAAGTAGTGAAGAAGCTGGTGCCAAGTTATAAATGTAGACAAGTTCCCTTCAGAAAGTGCCAGATGGAAACCCCATGGAGTGCGACACCCATTAACAGGAGCTCCATAAGGGCAGACTGCATTTCTTCTTGACCAGGTTATACTCTTTGCATGGAATGTAGAGGAGGAGAGGCAAAAGTGTAGCAGGGATGGGCAAAATTCAAACATGGTCAACCAAGCATCTAAACACAAGAGGTCAATAAGCCAATACATGTAGGGTGATTAGGGTATGTTCAGACCATATGGTGAGCTCACCTTGACTTTACTGGAGAGATTTTGGCTGCAGAAGGAGGGCACATGAGCTGTTGGAAGGGTTACCTGCACTAAATGGAGATTGTTACTATTGCCTACTTCTCACTGTATTGTGCCAAGTCCAACCAGTGAGGAATTCACAAAGGTCCATCACCCCAGTGGCTAGGAACTGGCAAGTGGCAAGGGTCTCTCATGCTGCACTTGAAGAAGGAGGTAGAATTCACTTTGGAGAGACCCAGAAAAGTGTCTGGATCCCCATTGGTCTGCCTGCCACAAAGGTCTTTTACTGGAGACAGTGCAAGTGATGATTGTGAAATCTTATATTTAAAATCAGCAAGCTCAATTCAATGAAGTGGGCAGTCACTTTCCTGGTGCCAGCTTTTTCCATGATAGTCCATGGAATGGTACAGTCTGGATTGGGCAATTTAGTAATTGTATTACATGCCATGATGGTACCCACAGTGGTCTTGCAGAACACACCATCTCAACATTGGGCAGTGATAGATCCAGGGAGGATTTGAGTTTTCCATTACCCCTGGCCCGATACGGATTTTGAAGGATCTTGTCCAAGGGCTTGAGAAAATGAGAAGCAAAAGAGTGAAACAGATGATGAATCTGATATAATGAAATAGGTTGCAAACATCAATATCCAGGGAAGAATATGCCAACTGGAGAAGTTGGTGGACCAATCCAGCAAGGATAGAAATGGAGAGGTCCCTTGAAGAAGAGGGGTCCCGGGGTAGAAACAGACATTGGCCACCATATTCGAATCGTTGGCTTCTTGCTCTTTGTACCATTTTTCTCTTAAGACTTATTTCCTCCTCCTCCTCGCTTGTGGTTGCTGTCACTCAAATATCTCTGCTATTGATGCTCCTCGCACTCTCTTCCACCACACTTATTTACTCCTCTACCCAGACTGGACTTTCCTTCCAAAGAATTCAACCTCTCAGGAATGTGACTGCATGTTCTCATCTATCTCCCTTCCTTCTGTCTCTCACCTCTATGATTGTTCAGGCCTGTACTGACACCTATGTCCAATTTGGGGTCTTTGATGTTACTTATCACATACCTCTCCCTTTTGGGGTCCCTTGCCTGGTCATTGCCCTTTGGACTGGACTCTCCACTCATGTAGCCTATTTCTTGTCCCAGTCCTGTTGACATTCCACTTTGTCTGTCTATCAATGTAAGTGGCAGGATTTTCCTTGTTGGTTCACCTGCCACTACCTTCCTCCCAGCCATCCTATTGTGAGCCAACTTTCTGACATTTTTGTTTGGCTGTTTGACCATAGTTTGTTGGTTTCCACTATTGCTGGCTATTGGGCAGCCTTATCCACTACATTTCACCTTTCCCATTACCATAGGGGGTTTTCTTCCTTGTCCTCTCCACTTTGTTCCAATCCTTCTTCACCATCCACCTCACCCGACTCCCATGCCAAGCTGGAACTTTAATGTGGTGTTATACACACTCACACATGTCATTGCCCTTTGGACTGGACTCTCCACTCATGTAGCCTACTTCTTGTCCCAGTCCTGTTGACATTCCACTTTGTCTGTCTATCAAAGTAAGTGGCAGGATTTTCCTTGTTAATCCACCTGCCTCTACCTTCCTCCCAGCCATCCTATTGTGAGCCAACTTTCTGACATTTTTGTTTGGCTATTTGAGGACAACACAACCCCCATGCACAATAAAATCCCTCTAACCACTTGCACTCAAGATAACTTCTTTTCCTTGACATAACATTGCAATGGACATGTTAATTTTTCTTGTATATGTTCAATTTACTGAGAGTTATGATCATAAACAAAACTTTATCCCCACATCTTCATGTGTGGGATGACCTTGAACTAACTTCCACCTAATTTCACAAGTTTAATGAGAATAGTGTATGATGTCATAATCATGCGATAATAGGAGAACGACACAACCTACCTCCATGCACAATAAAATCCCTCTAACCACTTGCACTCAAGATAACTTCTTTTCCTTGGCATAACATTGAAATGGACATGTTAATTTTTCTTGTATACGTTCAATTTACTGAGAGTTATGATCATAAACAAAACTTTATCCCCACATCTTCATGTGTTGGACTTGCCTGGTCATTGCCCTTTGGACTGGACTCTCCACTCGAGGCATGTAAATCTCTTAGGCAGATGCATAAGGAGTATAGCTGTTCTGTGTGCAGCGATGAGGTATCCACTCAAAAGTTAAAAAACATTGCAAGGTGGAGTTTGAACTCTCCGAGTGTATTTGTTTTCTTTTTTTTGCAATAAGCTGGGTGAAAACACTATTTACCAATGACTCACAGAGTCAAACACATTCAGTCACACAATAAAACTAAAGAGTTTATATTCTAATAATGCTCAGGAAGTTTCTATCTGTTATCTAGTTTCATATAACTTCTAAGAGTTCTTATGTATCCTAATGAAACAGTAAAATTTATGCCAAAATAAAAATGGTATAACATTTACTTTCATATGCATTATTGCAGTGGTTGTTTCTTTCTGAAATCAAATACTATAAGTATTACTGCTTTGGATATCTAAAAACAGCTAAAATCACCAAATACCTTCATCATTCAGTATTGAGCTCAGTACCATATAAAATGTTTTTGTTCTCTAGTGATTAGCAAGTAAATATGAAAAATTGAAAATAAATGGGAAATTATTTGAAGAGTTTGGATAGTTGACTCTTTCTGTTTGTTAGAACTGGGTACTCACCTTTCACTCTGAGGTCTGAAAGAGAAGATGCCATAACTGCTTTCCTCGTTTCTCGATTGCAGCTCCATACTTTGTATGGAAGCTGTCTCTGTTCCTAGAAACAGCATAAAATGAATCTTAAGTTGACATGTCTTGTTCTAGATTTTAAATGACAGTGCTGATAAGATTTCATAAGATTGGAATACTGTGTTCTTTAAAGCAATTAAAATATTATAAGTTTATATGTGCCTCAATACACAATGGAAGCAAATTAAAACTGTGCAAAAAATTTAGGAGAATAAGGATTAAATACCATATCAAAACTTATTCTGGAACATAATAATGAAGAAGATTTAAGAAAATTTTCAAACATTTGGAGAGATTCCCAAGAATTGGTTTTGTCTTTGAAGGATCCATTTGGTTAGACACAAGTTTTCACTATATAAATGTAATAGAGAGGTTGTCCATCAACTGTGGTAAAGATTTGTATATCCAATAACTTAACTACAACCATCCCTGTGGTCTGTCACTAAAGAGATGAACAGCCCTGACCCTCTTTTTTGCAACTAAATTGAAGTATGCTGATTTGCAAATGCAGATGATGTCTAAAACTGACCTCTTCAGAAAGGGTTACATCCCAGGTCTTTGTGATGAAAAATGTTTGTATTGCATGATTATAAAAGCATGCAAGGCACAAAATCTCAACATTACAAAGAAATGGTAATCTGCAGTGGTGAAATCTATCATTAAATCAAGGGAATGTTTGGTTGCACCATTAAAAAAGTCTACTATATGAGCAGGAAACAGTCACACACTGGAGGTAGTGAAGAAAGTTTAACAGCTTGTTATTAGAAGTAATCCAAAAGCAAGTAGTCCATAGCAGCTAAAGTAGGAAACTCTTTTGGAACTGTAAACAAGATAATTAATGTGACTTTACTCAATTTAGGTCTATAAAAGAGCCATTTTTATAAGCTTCTATCAAAGCACATAGCCAAAGAGAAGATTTATTGTTGAGAACTATATGACCACAGCCTGGCATGTGACAAATGGAAGGATGTCATCACGCTGGTAAAGCAAACATGCACGTCTATGTAAGGGTCTAGAAGAATATATTATTCTTCCACCAGTGACATTTCAAAAATGGTACAGAGTTGTTTTCACAAACATTTATCCAAAAGCTTTATGGTGATTACAGGTTACAAGCTAAAAATCCATAGAGTCCAAAACATTTCAAGATGGACTCTTTATAATGTCAGGCTAATGTTCTGACATCATTTTGCTACAAGGAAATACTATCTTGTACGAATTAGATGTTAATGAAGGATGGTTCCAATAAAAGAAAGCCACACATCAAAGATACCAGTAACTCTGGAATATGCAAGAATAAACAGAAATCAATGCTGTACCATTTGCAGACATCTCTCATAGTCTTCTGTAGAGCTGGACAATTAGTGGAATTTGCTTACTGATTAATCATTGAGCTCATTAATTGATTACATTAAACTAATAAATTATTCTTACATAAGAATAATTTTTGTATTTTAGCTTGTTCGGTTAAAGAAAATTCAACTACCCTTTATTTTATATGATAGACACCTTCATGTACAAACAATATAGGATTAAGTTCCTTTTTTAAATTCTAAACTATTGTACATGCAGATGTATACGTAGTGTACTGTGAAACTAGTGAAAAGCTGAAAACATAATTAATATCCTAGCTAAAAATATAATTAATACCCTTAGCTGAAAATATAATTAATACCCTACAGATTTCACAAACTACTCTACTAAAACTAAATAAGCTAATTCTTCATAAAAAAAATAATTGTCCTTATATTCCATGTGACAAAATAGTAAAGTTTCTTGTCAGTGTGTGCGATAGATAATACATAATTCAATGAAAAAAATTCACTCTGATCAAATAAAAACAAAAACAGTACACATTTATTATTTGACAAGAAAACTTATGATGATATGAGATTCCCATCTTGCAGAGATTAAAATGATTCATAATGTAGAAATTGAAGTATTATTAGAGCAAATAAAGAATAATATCTTGCCAGAATCTTTTTCTTATTAAAGCTTTCTTATCCTACGTAATACTGGTTACATTTGTAGCTAGTAATAAGTAAGAAATATATATTGAGTTAAAGATACATTATTGCTAAGTCTAAACAAGGTGAACACGAGCAACAGGCATCACTTTGGCTAGTTATGAACCCAATGGCCACACTCTCAAATTCTTGAGTTCTGTGCAAGCAGAATGCATACATATTGTCACATGTAGTCACACCACAGAAAGTAGTAATGGCTTTTACGTGGTGCCATGGTCAATCCCATTATTTATTGGTAAATAGCAGTCCAAGAGTTAATGTGGGAGCTTCTGGCCAATTGGCTTCTTTCTGATCATAGTTCAAAATTACAGACCATGGCAGAAAGCCATGATAACTTTGTCATACCTCAAATACAAAGAAATAAATGTAATGCCCCCACAGCTGAAAGGGCGAGTATGGTTGGTGGCAATAGAAATCCAATATGCAACCATCCTAATAAAGTGTGCATGCCAGCCTGAAGCTGAACGAACTTGAGTTAATTGGAAATAATAATAATAATGAAAAATCATAATGGCAATATTTCCATTACTTGGATAGTTAAAATAAGCTAAAACAGGAATAATTATTTTTTATCACATTAATTGATTTAATCATAATTTCAATTAATCAGTTATTTATCATGACATTAATCAATGGAATCAATGCTACTAGTAAACCAATTAATTGAATTAATCATCCAGCTTTAGTCTTTTGTGCCTTTGAGTTACTAAAATAAGACCTTGGAAAACGCTTTCCATGCACAGCTCATGGACTTTGGAAAGTATGTAAAGAAGGGAGAAAAAACTGAGAAATTGTGCTGCAGAGCAATAGTCCATAACAAGGGCTATTACAAAAATCACAGAGAAATGCCTTTAAGGCCTAGGTACACATTCTTGTATTGTTGCCAGAAGTCATGAATAAGATAAAGGATAAAACAGAGAGGCCCTTCAAATTGATGTTGTTTTTTAACACAGATAATACTTTGTTTAATATAAATACATTATATGTAAGCAGAGCATGATAAAAGGAAATGCTATATGTGGTTAATATTTCAGCCACACATTTTTCTTTGACAGCAATTCTAATAATTTCTTTGCATATGTTAAGTATGTTATTTTGTATGGATTTGAAAATTTCTAGTATGGATCCTTAAACCAGAATCTTGTAATTAAAATGTAGTTAAATGTCTGCTGTACATGAGTAAAAACTTATAATGATCATAAATAGCTTGTTTTCTAAATAAGATAAGTACATGTAATTGTGGGTGTTGTAAAAAGTTTTACTTTGAGATCATTTGCTATTAATATGATGATACACATACCAACATGCTAAGAAAAGTTGATATTGCTGAGCATGTCTCCTCTTCGAGATATTCTGAAAAAAACTCAGCAAATGACTTAGATTGGAAAAAAATTGCATTCTTATGTTAAAATAAAACTCACCAGTTCATGCTCCTTAAGTACAGTACACTTTTTGCATGTATAGAATGATCTTCTTTAAAGAAGACACTTATAATTGTGTGATTATACATAAACAGGATTCCTCTATTGATTGTATGGATACAGTAAAAATGGTATTACGATTGAGTTTGATAGAGTCTATTAAAAAGTGTACAAGCTACATTTTTTTTAGTTATTACTCATAATATGGATGATTTTACAAGAAGTTTTTGTAGTGTGTTAACTATATTAAGAGTGGGTAGAAAATACTGCAGCTTGTTCAGTAATTTGGTTGGTGAACTAGATAGGTTGCATGATCTCGTGAAAGAAAATGTAAAGCTTGTTATTTCTGAAACTAGCAAAAGAAATGTACTGTATACTGTGATAAATAAATATCTCTAACAGAGTTTTGACATGCTAGAAAGGGTGGAGAAAAGGACTATTAGACACCTGAATGAATACTGATTAAATAACTTGAAATATAAAACAGAAACAAACATTTACATGAAAATTTATTCTCATAATAGAGAAGAACTGCAGCAAACAGTCTTTTTCTTTCTTAGTTTTGAAACATAATTGATGGTAGTGAAGACCTGAATATAAAAGCCAATTAAGAATTGTATTTTAAACTATGGCTAGATTATTGTTAAACAGAAGTACTTTTTTCTAAGTCTTGGTCTTTTCTGGAACAGCTAGTTCAGAAAAAAATGTGGATGGAGCTCATAACTCAACACATTTTAAGGTTAGTTAGTTAGTTCTTTCAATACAATGATAAGTTTGAATGCTGAAGTGGTGAATCATTGACATTGAAAGATTGTTGTTTGTTTTATGCAATTTAATGTATCAGACATAGCTTATATATTTTAACCCAAATACGTTCTGTGGTAAATTTTTTATTTAACATCTACTTTCATAAATACTTCACAGTTACTGTAATACAGATGAAAATACACTGATATCAAATATATAAAAGTAGGTCACATTAATTATTGTGCCTAATTATTATTATTAATCATTGATCCTAAGGCAAATTGAGTGAGGAAGAGGAAACACATCCAACACGTGTGAGGATTTATGTTGATTGGTCCAGCTCTAATCCAAAACCACTCACTGGGAACTGACATCCAGATGATGGTAGGGTGAAGGATCCCAATCAAAGAGGTGAACTGCAATGTGATGGATCTTGTCTAAAGCAAAATCATCCTCCAGATAGGACCACATGGAAGCCGGGGTGCAATGCCACCCTCCAGGACCCACCGCACGAATATAGCAACTACACCCTCCAGATACAACTGCACAGAAGCTGTGCACAATATCAACATCCGGAACCCCTCGCACAGAAGTGGAGCACATTATTGGAGGATCACACACACCATCTAAATCAGCAGAACAACACCGTTACACTCTCTACTGAATGGAAGTGAACACATTCAGGAGGAATCCTCCATGGTCCATTACCCCAGCGGTTGGAACTGGAAAGTGGCTAGGACTCCCATATTCCACTAGAAGAACAAGGGGGATAAAATACAGTGGAGAGTTCAGAGGAATGGCAACACCAGAGACATTGCAATGGGTGATCACGAAAACCCTATTTTAAAAAGCAGACTGCCAGTGATTTATTCAATTAAAAGGATAGCAGGGATGGGAAGCTATCTCCTTTTGCTTTATCCGTGTAAGTCCATGGGTTAGTATGGTCTGGAATGAGCATATTTATGAAGAAATATATTGCAAAGAAAAACCTACTAGCTATCTGGTGGAACACCCAATCTCAACAGTGTGCATTATGGGCCATGGTATACATCGTGGCTGATAAACTTTTGTACTCGATCACTGCCTGATGAGAAGTGATAGTCTGGTAGAATTGAATAGAGGGAGACACATGCATCAGGAGGGTGTGTCACACTCCTATTGGTGAAGGGTTGTCACATGATGATTTACATGCGAGACGCAATTGAACCAGGTTGATCGTGGGGTACATGGGAGTTCAAGGCTTGTGGCATGGGAAAATATTTTTGAATACAGGGGCAGAACTGAATGAGTACAGCTATACACATTAGCAGGGGTAATGCACTGTATCAGAAATATGATACAAAAACAATTTTGATATGATAGTAGTATAGTTTTTAGAAATACTAACAACATTCACAAAAGCTTGGGACTTAATTTATATGTTGTGATGAGTTAGAAATACACCACAATATAAAAACAAAACAGGATCAGTTCATTATCAATAACAATCTTTTTTTTAAGGCAGTTAAGTAGTATTGGAAACACTAGTACTACTAACCCTACAGTTAGAATGCTGTATTTTTTACCAAACAAGTTATTTTTATCTGATGCAAGTACATATGTATATCATGAAACTTAACAGTAAAAAACAAATGCTGAAAACAACAACAATAAGATTATACTTAGTATACTACTTCTTTTTTTCATAAGTGAATTTTAACTTTAAATTTCACTGTAAAGTCAATCTAATTGACACACATCACATTTGTCTTCTTATAATTTAATTTGTCCAGAATCAATTTTATGTATAATTTCTGAATACTCTCATTTTTAAACATTCAATGTTTGTCTTTATTTTGGTAATTATAATCTCACTAAAAAAATAGTCATAATTTGACTGTAATATATGTAGACTATAATAAGAATTTTAAGATAATGTTGATCAATATCTGAGTATTCAGATGTTGTGTTTCAAATAATTAGAGTCATTCCCATCCAAATTTTTAAAAGCATTTCTCATACTTTTTGTTTATCATTAATGAGTTAAAAAGTGGGGATGGTCAAATTTCGGAAATTAGAAACCATAATTTGCTTTTAATTCAAGGTATGCATTCTTCCTAGAAAGAGGATAACATTACAGGGAAGATCCAACCTAAATGGCTTACTAAAGACAAAGCAGGAAGCAAGCAATAAATACCATAAATTTAATACATTTAAATTGACAGATAGAATGAAAAATAAATAAATATAGGATACATAAGGATATGGCTTAAAAACAATAACTAGGAAATCAAAGAAAGGGTTTACGAGAAACAACTACCTAATAATGCTAAAACTCATAACAGTTTTTTTTAACTATGCTAAACATATGCAAAATGTTAAAACAGGGATTGAGTTCAAAAAGTATTCTGATAACCAGGTTATTTGTTGAGGACTATGAGTTGGCTGATCTTAAGAAAATGTTTCTAATCTTTTGTTTTTACAACAGTGGATGTTAATACTAATCCTTACCCTTAGCACTCTATGTGAAATATTGAAATTGACCTGAATTATGTAGATATTAATTCCTTGCTGGTATTGTAAGTAAAACAATTGAGAGATTAAAATTAAAAATACCAACAGAACTATACAATCTTTTCCCCATGATTTCAAAGTAGGCCAAAGATTACATATGTGAACCTCTCTCTCATTTTTGGTAGGTCAATAAACAGTGGTCTGAGGATTGAAGAGTTGCTAATACTACTCCTATTTTTAAAGAGGGTAATAAGTATTGCCTTGAAAGTTACAGTGTGAAAAATGTCTATATTTTGATAAAAGAAGCATTGAAAAATCAATTACTGAAATATGATATAAAACAGAAACAACATGGAAATCTTCTCCTACTAAGCAGTTACTTTTTTTTGAAGATGTTACTTGTTATCTGAATAGTGGAGAAAGAGTTTGGGTACAGAATATTTAGATTTTCATAAAGCTTTTTGATAAGGTGTCACACAAAAGATTAACTAAGAATACCAGAATAGTGAGAGTTGGAAAAAGAATAATTAGATGACTTGTACAGTGTATGGGTGAGAGAAAGCTAAACAGTGTTACTGATGTTAAACTGGACCTTTGCTACTAGTGGTACACCTCAGAGGTCTGTGCTTGGAGCTTTGCTTTTTTTTCTTACATCAGTGCAATTGAACCATGTAATTTTGAGATTTATTGAGAGATCTGTTGATTACAAATCAAAATAGGCATTTATTTCTTTATACAAGTCATTAGTTAGGCCTCACTTGGAATATTGTGTACAATTTTAGTCTCCGTATGTTAGAAATGATAATTATTTACTGGTGGAGGTTCAGAAGAGGTTTGTAAAATGGTTTTCTTATGGGGATATGTTAAGATCTCTTGTTTACTCTTAAGAAAAAAGATGTGAGGTTACTTAAGTTTACGAGATTATCCAAGTGATCATTATGGGTTTTTTTATGCTGTGTTCTCATGAGAACAAGGAGATAGGAGGGAAGTTTAAGATCAGGAAAAGACAGGTTAGGCTTCAGTAAAGATAGTTTTATTTTTCTAATGCAGTGATTGGCTTATGGAATGTGCTGCCATTGGCAATAGTCTAGGTGGCATCTCAGACAAGATTAAGAGGGATATTGATGATTTTCTAAAAAATAAAAGGTGTGTTTAAATTTGTACTTTTTTCTTCTCAGGGGTGGATGTGCAGAAACAACCTCAAAACTAAACTGTCCCTTGATGATTGTATATAGTGTTATGTAATGATTATTTTCACACAGGGGCAATATTTAAACATATATTACTAAAACAGAAAATGTATATATGAGATTACTTTATTTTAAAACATTATACACATAATATACACTCTATTTCTATATGAAGCCTATTCTTTTAATTTGCTCTTTTCCACAGATACTTATGAGAGGGTGAAACTCCCTGAAACACGTATATTTCAGTGATAAGTGGTAAATCAAATGACAGATTATTGTGTTTCACATCTATTTTTTAGTTCTTTAAAATTATGTAAATGATTTTTATGGTTTAATTTAAGAGAGCTTAAAAACCTTCTCCATGATAAAGATGTAAATGTATGTTGTTTAGATACATCTTTATATCAAAAATCTGTAAAATTATTAACTTGCAAGTGCAGTTTTTCTAAGATGAACAGAACCTGTAAAACAATTCTACACAGGTAAAAACCACTATGAGACATATAATAAGATGTAGTTGCAATCGATTATGTCTAATTTATCATTGATTAGCCTTTTGCATACCTTATTATGGAAATATTTATTTGAACTCAATATTTTCAGAATGGATACAGGATTTTCTAACTTTTTTTTCACTTTCAGTGTAGTTTACTGCTTACGTTTTATAAAATGATAATAGTTTAAAATATATATAACAAATAACAGTAAAAAATACTTACAATCAAATCCATTGATATGGAAGTTTTAGGAATTAAAATATTTTTCTCTAAAACATTTTATCAATTAAATATCAATATGTCAACTTCATACAAACATAGATTTTAAGATAAAATTATAGAATACGATCACTAGAGTCAAGACTAGTTCTAGAACTTTAGTAGAAGTTAAAGTTAAACTAAGTATTACTATTAACACTGATAATATTGAGCGATACTGATAACACATTACCACCAGTAAATCCAATTTTCAATTAGCTTTATTATACTACCAGTATCCCACCAATAAATTGTGAGTAGAATAGATGAATATGCCAGTAACTAGCGTTGCAACCTTAGAGCTGCCTCAGTAACAATTACGAGGTGTTCTCTGGCAATTGCACTCTGCTTCAGACTAATACTACTTAGTAGTAGTAGTACTACTACTACTAGTACTCAGTAGTAGTAGTGATAGTAATATCATGCCAACGGTTACATGGTCACTTTTTACATATAAGGGTTTTAAATAAATAAAAAGTTTACAAAATAAAATTGCAGCCAAATATTTCAAACATAACTTACTGCAGCTGACATTATTTCATTTTTCTTATTAATTTTTAACGTTGACCATGGTGTTTTCGATGCCACCTACACCCTTCCATTTTGCCTTTGACACTCAGCCTCTCACCTCTCTCAGTCTGTTTCATTGGTCCAGACTCCGGCTACCAAGGTACACCAATAGGTAGCGTTTGCGATCATAAAACAAAACTGAAACTAGTTTAAAGAAGCTGAGAACAAGATTGCGTTGCACTTGCAGGTGAGATTTTATGTGGTAATATACATTTAATTTAAAATTTAATCGATCATTTCATTATTAAAAATACAAACAAACTAATTTTGACGTTTATTTAAAGGCTATAATTATGATATAATATATCAGTAAAATTTTTTTGGAACCAAAAAAAGAAAAGAACAATTAAAATTATTTTAAAAATATGTGTAAGAACTTAGGCCTATCAGTGTCAATTACTTGAAAATGAAAGTTGAACTACTGAATTACATTTACAATAATGTTCTTTAGACCATCATAATTTTATTTTTTAGATTGGAGATAATATTTATAGTTAGCTAATAGAAGTACATTTTTTCGATCATATTTTTCAAACTCTATTATCGATTATGATAGATCTTTCAAAGTTTCACAAATGTAAATATAAGAACTTAGGCCTATCATTTACATTTACAATAATTTTATTCAGACCACTATGATTGTATTTCCTAGATTAAGAGATAATATTTATGGTGTGCCAATACAAGTACCGTTTTTCAACCATATTTTTCAAACTGTATTATCAATTATGATAGATTCCTCACAAATGGATTTTGGAATTTACTGCTGAAATTTGAAGAGTCAAAATACAACAACTCACCATTACCAAACATAACACTAACATAACCATTACTTATAGTTATACTAAGCATTTCCTTACTTTTTTCATATTGGGAATAAACTTGTCACATCATAATTCATGAACAATATCTAAGTTCCTAAGAAACCCTTCTACTAATAACAAGTAGTGCTGGGGGAGGGGGATAAATGAAACCTGGTTATGCCGTAAAGCCCGCAAAACATCTTTAGGCTATATCTTCATTTAATGATAAAAACCATAGTTTTTGGCTTTTCTTTGCATATAGACGCTTGATACATTAAGAACGACTGAAATAATAATTTGAGTAATAACTAATATGTATTTGTTACTTTATAGATTTAATATATATTTGTTGTGACTTCATTAACGTTTTTACGCTTATACTGTGAGGTAAAAACGGATGCTGCTATCTTGTTTATGAGCTCGTTGCTGTCCTAATTTAGGATCTTCTTTTTAATAAGTTCTTGAGAATGTTAAAAAAAGAGAGAGAGAAAGGGGGCGCGGCGAGGATGTTTGCAGACCTCTTTAATCAACGGAGACTCTAAATTAAGAAATCAACAAATATTTTTCCCGTTTTGTTGTTTATACTTTCAGTACATAGACTAACGACAATATTAGGTTATAAATTAGTGGTAAAAACTCGCCAAATTAAAATAACTTTATTAATAAAACAAGAAAATGACGTTTCGGGCAATAGCCCTTTATCAGGTTACCAGTGGCAACAGGAACGTCGAGAGTCAGCACGGGCCCCGGGGTTTTTATTTAAAACGTTGGTGATATAACAGAAAATAACTTAATTCAGAAATGATTTAAGTTTAAAATTGAATCAATATTTTTTATTTCATTGTAAATTTTACACACTTGGCTCTAGGCTAGGTTATCCCACACTACATCTATACTTTAGGTTTATTATACCAACACTCATTACACTTCTTCTTTTTAACACTTATACTGTGAGGTAAAAACAGCTGCTGCTATGATTTTCTCTGGTTTATGAGTTTGTTGCTGTCCTAATTTAGGATCTTCTTTTTAATAAATTCTTGAAAATGTCAAAAAAGAGAGAGGGAGAAAGGGGACCCAGGGAAGATGTTTGCCCCGGGCCCGTGCTGGCTCTCGATGTTCCTGAGTAGTGCCCAAATATAGTAAAAAAACTCAGTATTTCACCTGCTGTACTGCCCATTCTCAATAATCCTATTGTCAATTTGGCAATGATTCTGCCAGAATGGACCACTAAAAGGCTCTTAGATGTAATCATGCACAGATTGTTCTTGAGCTACATTATATGTTGTTGACTTTCAGTTAAACAATTATGTACTACAATTGTATAATGACTTTTGATTCAACTTTTTCAACATTTATAAATGGGTGATTTGCTAAAATACTCTAGGTATTACACAGTTAAGTGTGAACTTCACAAATTCTACTTTATTTTGAACTTTGGAACTTCGGCTGATGATATCTTATTTTGCTTTTATGCAGTACTATTAAACAGATTGAGTAGGGACAGGTTTTTCCAAATGGTGACACATCCATGACTATCAATTCTCAGGTTATGGCATGAAGACAAATAAAACTGGTAGAAGTGTGGCCCAATTATTGCTCAGTTTTGTAGCCCAATTGGATCTCATTGGAACATCATACAGTCTAGGTACTTTTTTTTTTTTATTTATCAAGTACCTCTAATAACCTCAATATGCAGTGATTAGGGATGAAGATTAAGAATTAACTTTAGTCTACTTTTCTCCAACACTAGGGTGTGTAGTGTCAACCAAAATATATTCATGAAGAGGAAAGTAACAAAAATAAATGCAATAGCCACAGTCTTGCTATATTAATATCTTGCAGGAATGATAGGCTTTTATTATTGTACAAAACTACCTTCTCAAAATACCAAGAGACCAGTAAAACAAAAATTTGTCAATAATGAATGAAAAACATCTACCAGACATAAAAGATTTTGAACTGGAAATAAGCAGGTGTTAGCTTATAGTGTAAATATTAGATATTGTAAAAATAGTGCTGTGCTTCACGAAAAACTGAAAGTTAATATTGTGAAAGCATTGTAATGAACCAAACAATAAATGTTCCGAAATTAAAAGTAAAAGTAGATGAAGAAGTATTGCCTCATTTTACAGTACATGTTATTTTCTATTTGAAGTGAGGACCTTGCTATTTTGTATTTTATACTTAATCTGATGCTGTGTTAATGGATATCTTGGATACCTTGTGTGTTGTATACTTAATCTGATGCTGTGTTAAGTGATATGTTGAATACTTTACGGTGTTGTATACTTAATCTGATGCTATACCAATGAATGTAGTGGAGACCTGCTGTGTCGATACTTAATATGATGCTGTGCTAATAGATATGTTGGAGACCTTGCTGGGTTGTTTACTTAAACTGGTACTATACTAATGAATATGCTGAAGACCTTGCTGTGTTGTATACTTAATCTGATGCTCTTAATATATATGATGAAGACCTGCTGTGTTGATACTTAATCTGATGCTGTGCTAATGGATATGATGGAAACTTTGCTATGCTAAATATGAAATTTCCCTCTAGAGTTGATTATGATAAACATTTGAGGAATCTTTCCTGTTTGCTACTATCAATGCACACAGATTCAAATTAGGAGAAGGTAGTTACCACCTGAGCTGAGCATGTAAAGAAATAAGAACGTTATTAACTCATAAGTGGCAATGTTTGCTCAGGGTATTTCAATCCAACCAGATGAATAAATTCACAAACATGCTGTAGGTTGCTCTACAGTCTACTGCTAGACAAATTGAATTCTCTTGAAGAACTGTCCAGTTTCTCAAGAAAAAATACATTTCTTTATGGTGTGCTACCTTGGAAAGTGTTAAATGAGATATTTGACAATACTCAGTTCTTGTAAGTTGACTTAGAAATCCAATAATTTGAATGGGTCCCTGAAAAAGATGAAATTACACTTTCCAAGATATCATGGGCCGAAAAATCAACTGTTATAGAGACATCCCAACAAAATATATTGGCTCTGCATTTCCAGTGCCATATATATATATATATTTATATATACACACACACATACACACCCTTCAGTGGATCCCCAAAGATCAGTGTACTATACCCTATGATCCACTGTCTCTCTTTTCTTAATGTCCCTCTCTTTACTTCTCTCAGTTGTGGTAGCTCAAACATTTCCATACAACTCTGAGCATTCATCTTCATTGGCCTAGCCCATACTTACACCTGTTGTGCCAGGTTGGATTTGGTTGTGGTCACTTTCACCACTTTTGGTCTCCTGCACAGCTGTCTTTTCACATCATTGTCCTTGAGATGTGGACGATTCAATGGATCTGTTACCATTTTTTGTTACAGCTGCCTTGACATCCCATTTTGATCAAAATTGAGAACTCCGCTGTCATTTTGTACATCAAATGAGAGAGAAGTACTTGCCCTAGGGACACCTACCTTCTTCTCAAGCCCCACTTTTGGGCTCACAACAACAGCCAATTGTTGGCCTTCCATGTTCTGGAAGCTTTCAATTTAGTAACATATCAGCTGTTTCTCCTGGATTGAATCCTTCTAATAGAGTGGTATTTACATCTCCTGGTATTTCTGTGTATTTGTTCCCACTTTAGAAGTGTTCTTCTTGATACATTTGTTACTCATGTCTACAACAAATTTAAATCTTTTTATCACCAGTCCCAGTCTTAATGGTTCTTACAGTTATTCTTTCTAAGTTTGAATTGGTCCACCTTCTTTTGCTAAGTCTATTAAACTTTCTCAGGTGATGTTGTTAATTTACAGTACACCTTGCTAGGTTATTCTCATTGCCCAGTTTTATCATAATTTCCATTCCTTCACTTCCTGGTGATCCTGGAGCCTGAGTCTCTTTCATTTGGGAGGTTTCTTTTTACCTCAACTTCATCTTTACATGTGACTCTGGTTTGGCAAATTACTTAACAGGAAAGAAAAATTCTGTTTCCTGTGATGAAATAATTTGATCACTCAGTTGTTGATATCATTTACGTAATAAGACCTGTCCATTCAATGTGCTTAATAGTAAGTATACTAATCTTTAAATATCAAGGTTTTTTTTTATCTCTAACTACCTTATATTGTGGATCTATGTGACACCCCCTACATACATACACACACACACATATCCCTTGTTATTACTCCCCTGATTTCTGGGATTGTGCTTCTACTGTTGTTGTTTTATAAAATAATTCTGTGATGTAGCTTGTCCCCCATACAAACTACTGAAAACACCAAACAAGTTTTGTTGGATCACTCTTGAAGACCAACTCTTAATAGATACAGATGCAAGTAATATTATAGTGGGAGCAACATTATCACAAGAACAACAGGGAAACATATGTGATCACATACCTCAGTAAGGCAAGAATTTCAAAGAGTTATTGAGTGTTTTTCAAGGCTTGAGTAAGTTACACTTTGGACAGATCATGAAGCATTGAAATGGCTTATGAATTTTCACAATCCAGAAGGCCAGATAACAAAATGGCTTCAGAAACTTCAGATGTACAACTTCAGCATTCTACATCACCCTGAACAGAACCATAAAAATGTTGATGTAATATCATGAACTTAAAATAAGACCCAAAACTCTAGCACTTTCGAATAGTTGACTATTATTCTTCAGGAGAACAAAGGGTGACCTTTAGTCTGTGCAATGCAATATATAATAGGACGTGTGATGTCATGTAAACTGGAAGTCCCAGTTGAGTTGAATCTGGTGACCAGCCAATCCCAACTCCAGCAGTTAGTCACCCGGAAGGGAGAATTCATTTGTAGAGAGAAAAAGAAACAAAAAATGAATAAAAAAATTGATTGAAAGTTTGTTTTTATTATGAATAAAAATAATGGCTGCAATAAGTTTCTGTGTATTTTTTTAAAATCATAAGATTAAGAAGCTTAATGTAGTGTATTAAAAGCATGAATTTATACTCAAAACTTTGCTTATCATTGTGTATTACAGTATAGAGTAAAACTTAAAGCACACACACATGCTTTGCTCCCAAAGGTATAAAGCATAAGCTAGCATCACAAAGATTTGATACTTAGGTATACCATTACTGCAATCAAGTGTTATTAATAAGACCATCCTTTGTTATTATGTAACAATAGCTGTGATAGATCATTATAAACCATGAACAGATTGGCACACAGAAAGAATGTTGGGAAAAGCAGAAGCCAACTTCATAAGATGCATGTTCTGCTGTATATCTTCTAGTAGTGTAGTTATTTTCATTTCCAATATATTGTTCTTTAATTATTTTTTCAGTAGTGTGTTTATTGGTTAATGAACAGAAACATAACAGTTGTTTGTGCCTTGAGTTTTTGATTAAAATTAATGGAATATTTATTGTTTGTATTGTAACTGTAAATATGTTTTGTATTTAATAACAAAAGATTAATCATGAGTCATATACTTAAAAGTAATAAAGTATAAAGAATTCAGGGTATGTAAAATAAAATAAGCTATAAAGTAATATCCAAGCATTTTGGAATATGTTTATAAGATAAGTAACTGGGTTGTCTAATCTTACAAATGCAACAGAAAAAATATACAATAAAACAGGAAAGTCTATTAAGTATAAGTATGCCCAGTTGTACCTCTATAGAGATGCATGTTATTCAATTTTTATAGGTTTATATATTGAAATATTTTGAAAGTTATTCATATGGCTTCACGGAGAAAAACTTATATACAGTTTTTTTCTAGTTATATCCTTTTCTTCATTTTTTTTTTTAATTTCAAAATTTAAACAGAATTAACTAACACATTACTTTGCTTCTCATCAGTTAGATTATTACATTCAGACTCCAAAAACAACTCAGTTTCTGAACATAATTTTGTATTTTGAGCACTAAGAATGCAACTACATGTAGTATATTATGTGTATCTTTTTCAGCAAAAGGTGCCAAAAATACAAACAGTGCTTTTTTTATATATGTACTGGAAATAGGTGCCCATTTTTTCACAACTTCTGTAACTTTGATTAGGATTTAACTTTTCATCTGTCATAAAAAGCTCGATATTCCAAAGCAGGTAATGGCTGTTTAATGTGTGTCTTGTATACAAACTGAGATGATATTTTACATCATAGCTCCAAATTTATATTTAATAGTGGATTTCTTGATTTATCTGACAGTTTACCTCTTTAATTTTTTTCTTTATCTGTTTCAAGTTTGTCCATAGGACACAAGAATGATGTTTTCTTTTACATTAGCAATCAAGTAAAGATGCAGTAGATGAAAAATGCAAATTTTTAATATGTAAATGGATTGGGGTTTTATAAGCAAAACGGTACATAATTCATAAACAAAGAATAGATACGAATAAAAATTGTTTAAAAATGTTGGAGAACCTGTTTACTCCCTTTTGTCAAAAGTAGTAAATATATGAGATTGAGTTAGAAACTTTTGTAAAGCAACTTTAATGTGATACACTGACCACTAAGAACTACACATAAATGGTTGGGAAGTAAAAGCATTTGAACAAGTCATGAAGAAAACTACCAGTTTCTGTACCCTTATGTTATTTAACAAGTAACACAGACAAAGTCTGCTTCTAATTGGGAAGTTATTATTCAACTGATATCACTTACACAGTCAGCCTTTCTCTACGACTTTAACACTTAATCCATCTGTCTTATAATTAATATTGAGTATTTTTGTTTTATGATGAAGCATTTCTAAGTGTTATTTCTTTGATTTTTTTCACTCTGTAACATTCTTTGTGGTTTAACTTTCTACGTTATTTAAGTCTAAAAGGAATTTATATTTGTTTGTTTCTAAGCTAATCCTAAAAGTATGGTTAATCCAAGTTGTTCTTTTTTACTGAATTTTTTCTTTACAGTTAGAAAATACAGATTCATAGTATAAAAATGTATTAGCTCACAATAGTTTAGAAACAGGGTTAGGGGTAATACATTATTTGAGTAACTTGTTATTGTAATAATATTACTTTTGAACTTTACAATTTCCAATAAATTATAGATACAAGGGTAATGTAATCTGAGAGAAACAGTATTAGATATTAAAAAATAAATGTGAAGCCCAATCTATCATTTGATTTACCATATCACTAAGTTATACCAGTTTCATGGAATTCCACCCTTCATGAGTGACCCTGGATAACGGCAAATTGAAAGAATAAGACCTAAGCCTCGTATGGTGGTGGAGTGTATATTATATGTATGATGTGTTGAAATGTCTTTTACTCACACAGTAATCCTATATTTATTTGGAAATTTTGAGAATATTCTTCAAATGACAATATAAATACAGAATTACTGTGTGAGTAAAAAGACATATCAAAACACCATACATACTATTTGATATAATTTAGGAAAAAAAGCAATTTTTATACCTACATAATGTTGTCAGAAATACCAGTAGTGTTCTATACTTTTTTATTTGATTCTTTATCTGTGTTGAAATGTTGTGACAGCATCAGCTACATGGTTTTAAATTAACACAATTAAATTGTATCTCACAAATTGAAAAATGGGTTTAACAGGATGTTCAAAAAGTTTTATAATTTTTGTCATATACATAAAATAAGAAAACAAAATATTACTTTTAATAGTTTCTGTGATGTATATCTTTTAATTAAATAAATAAATAATATAAAAAAAGTTTGATAAAAATTTGTGTAAAGTGCATTTATCCACAGTAGAGTAATTATCATCAGATGGTTCCGATTGTTAAAATACAGTGAATTAGAACAGTTTCACAAATGAGAGAGTTTATAGTTTTTTTATTCAGTGGTATAGCCTTTACATAAATATTTTGAGTTATGACATTGGAAAATAGATATAAGAGTTTAACTAATTTACTCAGAAGGTAGTGTTATCCCAAAAAACACTAAAATGGTATCTCAGTACTTATAAAGCTTCTTTTTTGACAGGTTGTCGTATCAGATTTTAGTTTATCTTTATAACTATTTGTAACTAGTTTTAGGTATTTACTTTGTATATCTTTTAGGAATATAAGCATTCTTATCATACACAGTATTCACAAAGTGGAAATAAAGAAAAGATTTGGCAATAAAAGAATTCATCTGAAAAACTTAGTTACTTGATAATGGTTTGAAACCACCTTTTACCAACAAACTATAAATATATGCTGTTTGCAAATTCCACAGCAAAATGCAAAGCTATTTAAGTTATCTTAGAATGGAGTCTCTTTTATATTTTCTGGTGATCTGTCTGTACATGTCTCATCCTTTCCATTTTCAGCAGTTTCAGAAAAAATTCTCACTTGTTTTTTCTTTGATCGTTTTTTGTTACCATTTTTATTCTCTTCACCACTTTCCACTTCTTTTATGTCCTCTAAACTATCAGTGAGTGCTTCCTGTTGATGGAGCGTGTCATGCTCATCTGATGGAGAATCAATACTGATAGTATTTGCTTTCTGTAGTTTGGGATATCTTGTACTCATAATTGAACGTCGCCGGTTAGCTCGTGCTAATAATATAGAAGTGGGATCATACAAGGGACTAGAAGGCAACTGAACAGAGCAACGAGGTGATGAGAAAGTATCACTTGATTCTTCTTTATGAGACTGCACAGCATTTATGTCATCTGTTGACAATGCTGGGCTTGCTGCTCCACTTAAAGCTGCAGCCAAAGTGAGGCGCCGGGCACGCAACTTCCGAGCCCGAAGATGAGATGCTAACTCTTGTTGATCATCTCCAACCAGGTTTCGGTTATATTTTTGGTGGTACTAAAATAGATGTTAAAAACATATATATATATAGAAGTACCTTACAAATGAAAATGATACAATACTAAGTTAGTTGACATAAGAGAAATTGGACTGTTGGCTGATTAGAATAACATTAAGGAAGTAGATCACAAATTAGACAAACACTAGAGAAGTAGTAGACAAGTTACATTGTAGAACAATGCTGAGAAAGTAGATACAAGTGAGAATGATAAAACAGTATGGTAGCTACAAGTGAGAATGATAAAACAGTATGGTAGATACAAGTAAGAATGATAAAACAAGGAGGTAGCTACAAGTGAGAATGATAAAACAGTATGGTAGCTACAAGTAAGAATGATAAAACAAGGAGGTAGCTACAAGTGAGAATGATAAAACAATATGATAGCTACAAGTAAGAATGATAAAACAATGAGGTAGCTAAAGTAGGAATG